GGTCACATCGTGACACAATGCTATCACATCATGACTTCGAAAAAGGGTTTCCTAGTTTCGAATTTTTCTTTTTATTTTCAATTCAGATAAGCATTTACATAAAATTTAGATTAAGGGTGCATGTAATTATAAACCAATGTTGGGTTTTCTATGCATAAAATACACTTAAACTAGGTAGCATAAAAATAAATAGTTGATATACCTAAGTGTATATGAAACCTAAGGATCTATGACTTCATACTAATTACAGCTACCCTATGAAACATAAAATCATTAGGAAGAAAAACATACCTCTTATGTAGCCCTTGATCTCCATACTTGAGATCTTGTCATCCACGAAGTTACTTGGATGAGAGGACCAAAACCAGAATCCCTCTGATGTTATCATACCCAATGACACCAGAGAGTGGACTAAAAATAAATAAGATAAGGGTTAGTTTCACAAACCCTAAAAGGCTTAGAAATTGTCCCTATTGGGGGGGGGGGGGGGTGAAGAAGGATTAACGAAAATTCAAGCCAATGTGCAAGAAAGAATGAAATTCCTAAGGCCCTAATTATAGCATTGTATTTCTTCCTAAGTTTATTACTCTTTCCCATGTGGGATAGGAGGCCTAGAACAAAATTCACTCCTTTTCCCATGTGAGATGGAGTGATTTTCGTCGAACCCTAATTCTATAAGAGTTTTGGAATGTTCCTGATTAACCAACTAAGGATTAATGAATATCAACCCTTTAATTAATTAAATTGTTAGTTAATTCCCAAATTGTTTTCCAATTAGTTTCTAATTAATTATTAACCATAATAATTAATAAACCGATTTCTCCTTTATTTATTCTACTTAGTTTGTCTTTTAAGGGCAACCTAAAAGGACCCTGTTATTATTAGAAATCTTACCAATAGTTAATGACCTTGGACACCATTTTAAACACATATTACCATGGACTTCATCATGAAATTACCTTAGACTCCTAGAGGATTTGATGCGATTTGGGTGATTGTTGACCGATTGACCAAGAGTGCATATTTGTTTGCTATTCGAGAGAGTTCCTCTACTGAGAAATTGGCCGATATCTATCTTCAAGTGGTGGTTTCCTGTCATGGTGTACCTACCTCTATTGCTTCAGATCGAGATGTACGATTTACTTCCAGGTTCTGGAAGAGGTTCCTTGAGGATTTGCGTACCAAACTACACTTCAAGACAACCTATCATCCACAAATAGATAGATAGAGTAAGTGAATTATTCAAACTTTTTAGGATATGTTGAGGGCTAGTATCATTGATTTTGGTGGGAGATGGGATACCTACCTTCCTTTGGTATAGTTTTTGTACAATAACAGTTACCATTCTAGAGTTAGTGCACCTCTATTCAAGCTTCTCTATGGAAGGAAGTGTCGTACCCCGATATGTTAGGGTGAGGTCGAGTAGCGGATCATGAGGAGATCTAAGGTAGTACTCCAAACCACAAAGCTTATACAATAGATCAGACAGAGATTGCAGACAACACCAAGCTAGCAGAAGAGTTATGTGGATAGGCGACAATCTAATTTGGAGATTCAGGTCGGGATATGGTTTTACTGAAAGTATCACCCTGGAAGTGTGTTATATGCTCTAGGAAGGGGAGGAAGTTAGGCCCCCAATTCATAGGTCCTTTTCGAGTAGTGTCCATGGTGGGAAAGATAGCCTAACGATTGGAGTTGCATGAGGAGCTTAGCAAGATTCATAGCACTTTCTATGTGTCGCAGCTCCTAAAGTGTTTGGTTAATGATACATCGTGTGGTCCTATTGGATGAAATTCAGGTCAATGAATGCCTAAATGATGTTGAGAGATTGGTGGGAATTTTAGATAGGAAGATGAAGGCCTTATACAATAAGATGCTACCCTTGGTCAAGGTGAAGTGACAGCAAGAAGGAGATGCATCAACACTACCTAGATCTATTCGTAGCTAAGGATTTTGAGGAATAAATCTAGTTAAAGTGTGTGATAATTGTAACACCAAGTTCCAAGCAAATAAATCTTTCGTTTTTGGCAATTCAAGTCTTAAATAATGAATTTTGTGGTGACCACGATGTGGAAAAGGACGTACCTTGATGTAGTCAAAACTATATGAAACGTGACTTTATTTGGGTCCTCATGATGTGTCATTATGTTAGCCATGATGTCACGATGTCCAGGTCGTAGAACCCTATGTTTTTGGGCCTTAAGCCTTATTTAACGGATGTGATGGCTAGGGTTTGCACACCCTCGGCTTCCATCACCTCCCTTTCGACCTAGAAGTACCCATAGCCACCATTGTTGAGTTTTTAAAGTTTTATGGTGATTTTTTGTGAGAATAAGAAGGAATCCATTATGTGAAGATTCATCAAACAAGCCCCTTCTGCTAGCACATCTTCTGGACCATTATGAGTGTTGAGGTTCCAACTTTTATGTTTCATGCTTCTAGATCTAGGTTTCTTTGTGTTGTTCTTCAAGAATGGTATAGTTTGAATGGTTTGGCTCCATAAAGTTGGAAAAATTTAGGATCCTTGGGATTCCCTTGTGAGCATATGCTCCGGATCTGAAGTTTAATAGAGTCTTGATTATATGCATGGAGCTGTGGGTCTATTTCTTCCACTTTTTTACCTAAATTGAGTTCAATGCATGTATTGGATATACCTAAAAAGCAATGATTTTTATGATGTTTGGAGTGTATTATGGCCTTCTAGAGAGTATGAGTATGTTGCTTGAAGGATTAAGAGCTCAATGCATTAAGTTTGTCAGAATAGGTCCCACGACGTAACAGTTTGGTCTCCGCGACTTGGCAATAGGCAGGCTTCATGATTGTTTTGTCGTGAGGTCAACATGACGTGGCAGATGGTTAGCCCCGACGTGGTGACCATCTGAGGAATTTTGGACCGCTGACATTGACCATTGACTTTTTGACCAAGTTGACTTTCAACCAACTTGAGGATTTTGAGCTATAGATTAAGGATTGGCCCATGTTTATTATATAAGTGACTCATAGTACCATTTTATGGATTCATTAGAGTTGTTGTTTTATCTGCTCGACCGCGAAGTGAGTTTTCTCACTATACTTTGTACTATAGTATGTATCCATGTGTGTAGAATGTTGTTATGCTATAGTGATCTGTTTGACTGGTAGATCTACTTTGGTTACCTATGTTTTCTTGTTATTGTTTTGTGCATATGTCGATATAATGTGGTTGCGTTGAGGTGCTACTTTTTTGTGATGTAGACCAACATACTGGGGAGCTGTCCAACTACATGTTTTAGGCTTTGGAGCGGTCCAACTATATGTTGTAGGCTCAATAGGTGGTCCAACCCTATGGTGTATGCATGGTGTGCATGCATTGTATGTGTATTGTTGTATGTGGTATTTTGAGGAACATACTAAGTTTTGGATTACAATTGTAGATTTAAATGTTTCAGGTACTTCAAATGTTCGGGGAATGCAAAGGCGTGATCGAAACATCATCCTATGGATATATGTTGAGAAATGTTATTTGATACTCTGATTTTTATGATTATGTTTTCGAAACAATGTTTTGTATGACTTATGGTTTTTATGAAAATAGCTTTGAAAAATCAAAAAATTTCCTATGGTTTTTGGGACATTATAGTTAATGTGTCATAATGTGTGGCGCGGTCAGTTTATGCGAGATTATCAAAAGTAGCCGACATTAATTTTAGAAGCACTAACGTCTAGTGATCTTTGGATATGACATGCATTTTTTGGTCCATAGGGTGCCAACAACGACATAAATGTTCTAGCTAGACCAATCATCGATATTCAACAACATCTACTTTGGGAAATCGTATGATTTGTTGTTTCAAGCAAATGGGATGTCATACAAGTGCGAGTATTACCTTATTTTTGGAATATATCATGAGTTAACAATATTTGTGAAATCATTCACATGTCCAAATAATGACAAACAATCAAAGTTTAAGGCGGCACAAGAATCTGCTAGGAAGGATATCGAAGCCACATTTGGTGTCCTAAAGTGATGTTGGCAGATACTCGCAGTACCGACATGATATATGGAACACAAACGAGTAAGTAGCCTGATGTACGCATGTATCATATTGCATGATATGATTTTAAAAGATGAGGGGAAAACAATTTGCCGCTACAATCAGAATGGATATTTACCAAATGACAAAGGAGTTGGTATTGATTTGGAGACATACACGGCGAACGAATGGGAAATATATGACCAGGTTATACACCACAACCTCAATGTTGATTTGGTGGAATACATCTTCAATACTCAAACGAATTCAGTTGTCGACGGTTTTGTTGAAGACGACTTGTTTGAAGATACAGATGACGAATCAAACATGTTTGAAGGAAATTCGGACGAGGATTTTGAAGATATGCCGAGCAACGATAATTAGACGTCACATATTATTTAACTACGTTTCGAATATATATTTAAATATATATATATATATATATATATATATATATATATATATATAATATATATATATATATATATATATATATATATATATATATATATATATATATATATATAGTACGTATTTTGTTTAAGTAATGAAGTAACTTTTTTTTGTTATTTTTAGTTAATTATGTTTTATTCAATTCCAAAAAATGATACGACACCTATTAGTTTTTGTGGGTTAGAAAAAAATGATGTAACAATAAAAAAAATATGATATGATATATGTGATACGAAACTTCCTAGCAAAGTATAATCGGTACCTGATTTAATAAGCTTAATTACTAGGAATCTCGAGGAACAATACAACGTGTAAGGGAAATTGCTTGAGATGCGTCTCGTATGGTGCCGTTTTGCGTGCCACAATATTCAAGTTAGGAATTCCAATCGAGGTGCATTAAAATTTTGTGTATTCAATAATATATACATAGAATACGTAAATTCCTTATAATCCATCAATGTTACTCTGACATGCATGCAGGCCAAACATAACTAGTTTATGAGAAATATGTATAATATTTAATTTTCATTTAATAATATTTTAATATATTAATATTTAATGATATAACACTGACATCATTTAAATGGGTAAAAAAAAAAAAAAAAGAAAGGATTGATTTGGGTTCATAAGTTTAATTTTTATGCCTAAAATTATGAGTTGTTGAATGTTTAAATAAATACACATACATAAATAAATATCACATGCATACGTTATTCCACTAACGAGCCGCTAAATAATTCCTTCACTCTAGTATGTATGAAACAATCAAACGCCCAAATCTACATTCTAATCAACATTTACGCTTTTAGTTGAGACACAAACTCATGGATATCTTTATCCGAGCTCCCTCCTTCACTCACGGCCTGTATAGCCAACTCCCTCCATTTGCTCACATTCTTTCGTGCTACCTCGCCTCTCTCACCCTCCATAATCTCCTTTACACACGAAACTAAATTTCCTCGTGTCACTATCCCCTTTTCGTTGGCCTTAACTCGTACTCCAACACCCCATATCTCCTCTAAACATTTTCCATTTGTTGGTTGATCTGTCCATTGAGGCATTGCCACAACAGGTACTCCTAAACTGATTGTTTCAAGAGTCGAGTTAAACCCACAATGTGTAACAAAACATCCTACAGCCTCATGCGCTAATACCTCAAGTTGCCTACACCATGACACAACCAACCCATTTGCCACAAAACCTTTTGGGAGCTTTTCCTTTTCGGTTTCCCTCACAACCCACAAGAAATCCACACCGCTTTCGTTCAAACCCAATGCAACTTCTTCCATTTGTTCGGGTCCAAGTTCTCCATAGCTCCCAAATGACACATAAACAACGGATCCTTTTGGTTTGTTGTTTAGCCACTCCATACATTCGATATGATTTGGTTTTAGTAGACTCATGTCGTAATCTTGATCGTCTTCTAATCGTTTGTCAAGATACATTGATGGAACCGTTGGTCCCACTACCATCAATGGCCACATCTTTCTCATCCACTCTATCACCTAAATCAAATAAACAATAATGAAGATAAAAAAAATCACAACACATGTACAAGAGAGATAATAAAAAAACATAAAGAAGAAATTAAATTATTTTGTTGAGAAACAACCAATACCAACTCCACGCCATGCTTAAAAAAAGAATAGAAAAACGAACCTCTTCCTCGAGCTTGTAGAATGTATTGGAGAAAACCCAACGAGCTTGATGAATATTGGAAAACTGATTGAACACAATATGAGCCCAACTAGGGTATGGTCCAGGAGTGTGTACAAAAGACGGTGTCTCCCATGGTTGAAGCGGCGGCAATTCAGGGACGGAAACAGTCGCCGCCGGTGGGACATCAACAATCCCCTTATAGGCATGATAATAAATGTTATTTACAGCACAAGCTTGAGTAAAGAAACAACCACCATTAATTCCAAACTCCATGGCCACATCCAAAGCCCAAGTAACGAAGGAATCATAGACGATAGCATCAACCGGATTTCCATCACTATCAAGCTTCCTGATAAGATCAGCTAGCGATTTCGATCCCACTTGTTGGAACTTCTCCAGGTAGGCTTCATCACTGCCGGCGCTCATGTAGCCACCGTCATCAAATCCATCGGAAATGGGTTCCACTGTTATGGAGGTGTTTGATGAGGGGGATGTCTTTGAGATGTAGATGGTGGTTATGAGCGTTGTTTTGACACCTTTGGAGATTAATCGTTTGGCAAATTGGATAAGGGGGTTTATGTGGCCTTGTGAAGGGAAGGGGAAGAGAAGAACATGTGGTGACTTGGTAGCTTTATGTTGTTCCGCCATTGTGATGCTTGAAAGTGGAGTGAGGTTAAATTGTGAGCTATATATTGCCGGTGAATGACGTCATTGCTATCGTCGGCCTCATCTAGTATATGAATATATCTTATTATCATCACAAATCCAAATATGATACGTCTTAATAAAATATTACTAGGGGATTTGTCTTTCGTGCAGATCATTGCACTTTCAGATTTCGATTGTCATGTGGAACAAACTGCCAAAGCCTTCCCGCTGGCATTTGTTTAATTTATTATCTTGGCTGTTCCAAAAATAACATGTGCCAAGGACTTTTTGACGAATTTCTTTCATCAATTCACTTCCACTTGTTGAACTCAAACCAAATACTAAAACCTATAATAGGAATAAATTTTGGTGTGAATTTTTCCAATCCAAAAGTATCCATAATAGTACAATTTATTTGTTAATTTTCTTCATGATAAATAAGCGCGATTGGTCATTTTGAAAGGCTCAAAACTCTCTACAAGAAAGCGTTTAATTTCAACCTAAGACTCCTAAACTTTACCTATATTACTTATTTTTATAATAGCACCATCTATATATTTTGTGAATTTTTTTTATCTTTTGTTTCTATCTATTCTTTTACTTATATTAAATAACGAAAAGTATCATCTTCAATAAAATTGATAATATTTTAAGATATTTTTCACTATTTAATATGAGTAACATTTAACATGAGTAAAAAATGATATTTGAAAAAGGTATTGGTGAAAATTTTATTTCTTCTCTTTTTCATGAATATCAAGCACCAAAGGAATAATCTTCAATTAGTACCAGTAGCAAAATCACCTTAGCATCTAATATGATGAGGGTAATTTTGCAAAAATGGAATCACGAATTCCAATTCTATTATAATAAAATCTAATATGTTGGTTTGATAAAATATTCACCTCAAATTATTCTACTTATTCTAATGTATGTTGTATAAATTCATTCTCATGTTTATCTCCTTTTTGCAGCTCCTTGTATAAAATAACTAGGTTATCACCCATGAACATCACAGATGAGAAAGCTAAAAATAATTTTATTTAAATTATAACTTAGTTATTGAGAAATGATGATAAAAAATTTAATAAGTATTTTTATTATAAAAATGAGAAAAAAACATTATTTTAATCACTGTTTTAAGTGTTATATATATATATATATATATATATATATATATATATATATATATATATATATATATATATATATTAAAGATTACTAAATTTATTTTAGCAAAAAAACAACCGACCACTTTTTAATGATCCCAACCCTTCCCTCTCCGCCTCCCTTGGTTGTAATACAAACACAAACACAGACCAACAATCAGCCTTATATAGATATTTCCGCCACATGGAACTATTAAACCGTATCAATTTCTAAAAGGGTATACAAGTATGTCAATTTCTATCGATGAAGGAAGTGACGAATACACTAACATGGAAGATATGTCAATAGAGAAACTTACATCAATTAATAGTCGATGTCGAACTCAAAGACCGAAGAAACGAAAAATTGAGGGTTGAAGACAGCAAGATTTATGGTAAGAGATGGTCAAGTGTTTGTTAATCTTAAGTTTTATTAACAGAACATACATTAGTTACAAGAAATTTACCTGATTTTTTTTTTTTTTTTTTGCAGAAATCTTGTATATGAAGATATTTGCGAAAACTAATCGATTAAAAATGGAAACACAATCAGGTATCTTTCAATTTGCTAAAATTTTTGAATTTCACATTGTGTGAGTATTGTTTTAAAATTTTGAAATTCGAATTTTCTAAATATTAAGTTTAATTTTGTGCAAAATTATTCACTGGTTTATATTAATATAAGTAAATAAAAGAATACCTTGAAGTTTCATTTTGTGCAATATTTGTTAATATTATTCAATTTAGATTGTATTTAAAATTTTATTTGATCAAACATAATTTCATATTTAAAAAAAAAGTAAAAAAAAAAAATCACCTTGTGTTAGTAATGTTGAGAAATTAGTTAATGTATAAGTTATTTTTCTACTTTTCAAAAATTTGTTAAAAACAATATATATATATATATACATATATATATAGTATTATGCATAATTCCTGTATTTGGAAACTAAAGCTTATTAATTTGTTTATTGTACCTTACATTTTTCTTATTTACTCAAAACAAAAAGAACCTTACAAACTAATTATTATGTTATCATATCTGATTCAAAAGTAGATACATATATCTCAAAAGTAATTATATGCTCAATAAATTAATTGTTTTAATCATGAATGGGAAAATTATAATCAGATACCAGAAAGGGATATCCAAAACTTTTAGTTTTTACTTTCAAATATAATAATCTTATAAAGCACAATGAACAAACATTATCAACCATCTTTTGTTTAACCTATTAAACCCTATTGATGTGTTGATTGAAAAAGATTACAAACCATTGACTTGGTGTTTCTCTTAGATGGATTGTTTTGCCCTTTTCGTTTTGCTATAAGTTGGACTGTTTTGCCCTTTGGTGTTGGGTGGCTTCATTTATGTTGTTTTATACTTGATTTTGTTGTCTTTTTATTGCTAGACGTTGGTATATTTGGTTTCAGATGTCTGCTGATTTTTACTTCCTTCATATGAGGTTTGTTGCCCTTGTTGCCCTTGTTGATGCTCCTGGTATGTTTTATGTCGCGTTATAGTTGATTGCCTTTTGTTGGTTCATTCCTATTAGTCCATTGTCCTTTATGTCGCTTTATATGAAAAGTAGGCCGCCCTATTATGAAATAAGTTATTTGGTAAAACAGTCCATATAAAAGGGTAGAATTGTCCTTTTCTATTAATAACAAAATAATGGCAGTTTTTTTAGTATACGACATAAACAGAAAAACAAACAATGATAGGAACAGGGCAAGATTAATAGTAAAGGGCATAATTGTACTTTTCTATTAAATAGAAAGAATAACAGATTTTTATTTTTATTTTTATCTTTTACACAACTTTGAACTTTTTGCCATTTCGTTAAAAAACTGCGATAATGAAAAGTAAATTGCTATGGAATGTATATGAATCCATGGAAAGTCACCTATGTTAGGAAAATAATGAAAAAAGGTTGTTGTAAAGAATTGTTGCATAAATAGTGAATATGGTTGGCTGTTTTAACACAAACGGTCATTTTGGTGATAAAATGTGTAAGAATGTTACATGTGGAATGACCATGAAAGAAAACAAACAATGATAGCAAAGGGCAATATTAATAAGAAAAGGGTATAATTGTACCTTTGTATAAAAAAAATAATAATAACAATTTTATCTTTCCTTTTATAGAGTTTTGTCCTTTTTGCCCTTTGGCTAAAAAATGTGATTAACGAAAATTTAATTGCCATGGAATGTATATGAATCCATTGAATGTCAAGTGTGTTAGGAAATTATTGAAAAAAAGGTTTGTGACATCCTCATTTTCACGGACAGAAAAGACCGATTTTGTTTATGCTTTATAAAAATAGAGTACTTCTTTTCATAAAAGTATTGCGGAATTTGTTCCCAGAAAAATACGATAAATACGTTATCAAAACATTATCGAAGAAACGTATTTTATTCATTTTAAAACATTTAGGATGTCATCGTCAATACAAAAACACAAGCATAAACAGAACCTACATTTATTTACACTAGTGATTTACATCTCAGTAATCTCTGAGTGTAATGTGACTTCATATCAACACCTGTGATATAAATAAACTGAGTGGGTCAGGTTGGGAAACCTGGTGAGTACATTGTGTTTTCAACCCACAATAATATAATTATTATGTTTAAACAATCAAACAATCAACCCAATTACCCATCCCCATTATAGTCTTTAATCTTAAGGATCTACCCTAAGAATCAGCTATTCCTCGTTCATTCATTCCTAAGGATCATCCTAAGGAATCGGCACAAAGTCCATCGTTGCCACGGTTTACACAACGGGCACTAAGTCTACATAGTCGCCAGGGTTTAGGTATCAAGTTTGCATGATCATTAAGGTTTAGGCATCAAGTCTGCATGATCACCAGGGTTTAGGCATCAAGTCTACATGATCACCAAGGTTTAGGCATCAAGTCTGCATGATCACCATGGTTTAGAGTACACCGGGTGAACACATCGTTCACAACACCTACAGGTTGTGAGTCTGCTAGTGTTCCACTGGACTGTCTAGAATAGTCCATGGTTGTCATCCATACTCTACTGAATGACGGGACCATCATTTGGGAAAAAGACTTCTCACATCGTCCACCTCTCACCCTCACCTCGTGGTCTATAACACCTCTCAACTCATCATTCAACTCATATTCCATCTATTATATCTACCCATGTTTACCACAACATTATCGTAGATATAAAATACATATATAGTTTAAATCATTTAAAACATGTATAAAATCGTTCATTTAGCATAGACAACAAGTACTCAGATAATATGCACACAAAGCACGTAATTTTTATAAAATACTTCATATCTATATGTAAGATGAAAGTAACTATGCACTCACTTGAAAAGGTGATGATTCCGAACTCAGACAGTGCTTCACTTCTTGAAAAAAAAAAAAAAATTCCTTCGACGAAACCTAATATTATTACCACTAGAGTTTAGTCTATTATTCATCGAGACTAATAAATAGTCTAGCTATTATTACTATTATATAACCGCTAAATAATACTTATATAACCCATAATAATAGCCCAATTACTTATTATATGTTCTTAATAACATTAATACAATTAAATAAAAACTATATTAAAAATAGCGTAGTCGTAACTCAATTACAGCGGGTTTTATAGAAAACCAGGCTTTGTTTGGAGCAGCATTCCCGTGTGGAAAATCTCTTCTTCTCGGAGCCGTCGAGCACTCAGTGGCTTCCGCCTCGTGCTAGGGAGGTTCCCTAGGCTTTTCGTGGGGTTTCGGGGCTAGAGAGAGGTTCTAGAGAGAAAGAGTAAAGAGAAGAAAGAATGAGAAAGGTGTGAAGAAAATGAGGGTGTGAGAGGTTCTATTTATAGGGTGAAAATGGCTGAACTTGGTGCCACATGTCACCATCTAGTGGCAAGACTTGGGGAGAAAGCAATGGCCAAGATTGTGCCACATCACCCATTTTCGCACAATACACTTCCGACTTCTAAAATCCGTAGCTTTCACATACGACCTCCGTTTTTGACATTTTTTAAATCTATGCGTAGGTAAAAATAATATCTACAACTTTCATTTTGACTCCGTTGGCTATTAATGAGATATTCAACTCTCATTTAATTCATGTAAGCCAAAAACTGCTCGAACTAAATTTCGAGTTTCGGGCCGTGCACTGCTAAGCCGAATCTTAGAAAAATCATAACTTCTTCATACGAAGTAAGATTTAGGCATTATTTTTATGAATTTTCTCGGATTAACATATTCTACGACTTTCATTCAGATCACTAAGGCTAAAAAGTACTCCATCATAAAATTACTATTTACGCTTCCCGGTGTCGTGCC